ACTTCTCAGGACAGAAAAGGCCCCTAGAGGCCCCCTTCCTTGTCCAGCCCTGTCTTATGTCGGATTCCACACCATGACATTCCAGACAGATGGTCATCTAGGGAAAGGAAGCTGCCTACCTCCTGAGAAGGCCCACTCCATTACTGGGCAGTTCTGATTGTTAGAAAAGTCCTTCTTCTATCGACCTGAAATCTTCTTCTTGGTAACTTCTGCCTAGTGACTCTAGTTCTGCCCTCTAGGGCTTTAGAGAAAAAAAAACAAACAAACAAAAAACAGAACAAAAGAAACCGCCTGCTTCCTCTTCCACAAGGCAGCCTATTAGATTTTCAAAGATAGTGAATCCATTTCCCCCTCTGTCTTTTAGATCTTCCAGGGTTGAGGTGTTGGGGAAGCACTATTTTAACTGAGTAGCAGTCAGCTTAGACTTTGATTCATTATTTTTTGAAGGCCTTTTATGTGCGTGTCACAGTGCTAGGTGCCATATTCCTCTGGTCCCCTCAAGAGGTGTGACTGCATCTCTCCCTCCCTTCCTCCTACTCTCTCTCCCTCTCTCTCTCTTTCTCATCCTCTCTTCCCCCTCCCTTCTCTTTCTCTCCCTCCCTCCCCTCCCTCTCTCCTAATCCTCTATACCCTGGAGGAAGATGGGGGCTCATCCTACCCAGGGTTGTTTCTTGGAGGTAGTGGTAAGAGGTTCGCAGTTCTTATTCCATTAATTCCAAGTAAGTTTCCTGGGCAGGTGTTGTGTGAGGATTGATTTCCTGGCTGGTTGCACTTCTCAGATGAAGCCAGTGAGATGAGTTAAGGAGTAGAAGAATCTCCCATTGATAGGAGCCACCCAGGGCCATGACTTGGCATTGTAGGCATTCTGTGGACAGAGGACTTTATTCTTACTCCTTTTCCTCCCTCTCTCCCTTCCTGATGTCCCCACCCAGAACACTTTCTACTGTTCTTTCAACTCTGGAGGCAGCATGGTGTAACGAAGTGAGCCAGACAGGCCTGGGTTTAAATGCTGGCTCTGTCACTTAGAAGCTCTGAGACCCTGGCTGGGCAAATTAACTTGAGCTCTTTGAACCAGTTTTCCCATCTCTAAAATCACTTACTTCCACATTGTAGAATTAAGTAAGAAAATACTTTATTAAACTCCTGGCCCAGTTCTTACTATGCAGATGATCCACGAATAGTAGCTTCCTGCTCCCCTATCTTCTTTCTCTACCATTTTTGAGGGATTAAAAGGCAAAACGCTCCGTGCCTTCACTGAGGAAAATGAGCTGAATGTGGGTATAGTAGCCAAAGCTAGACTTGGTTGGGTATTTGGGAACAAACTGTCAGTTTCCTGTGAGCTCCTGGTGAGATCAAAGCTGTTAAGAGGGTTCTCAAGTAGAAGAGGCTGAGAAAGTTGTAAATGGCAGTAAATGACCACTCTGGCTACCGTTGACTCCCGAACACATTCTGGGCTATTAAAAACTGCCTGCTACCCACAGGCTAGCAGAGCCTATTCCTCTAACCATTAGACTTGTATGCAGTGATCCTCCACTGGAATGCTTTTCTTGGGGACTCCTCTTGATCCTTAAACTGCTGAGCTGGCTCTTTTTGGTTATGTCTTCCCCATCCTTGCCTCTGCTACTCCCCGCTTTCCCCACTTTCGGATCTCACTCAGCCACACTCAGCATCCAAGAAAAAGTCATTTCTGGGCTGATAACTTTGCAGCAGTCACACCTACACCTTGTTGATAGGTCAAGAAACCTCCTGCCCACAAACTTGAATTGTGTTTTGCATCAATTGTTCAGAAGAACCAAGAAAATTATTGCTGAAGCCTGTAATCCTCCCAATGAAAGGAGGAGGGGAGAACAGAATTGTGGGGTTGGAGGCCCCATGGGGGAGCCCGTCCCTGTTTTTCAGCAGATATGTCAGCGCTTTCTATGTGCTGGGGGCTGGGGATCTTCTGACAGGATGCTTATAAACTGGGGCCATAGGCAGATGCAGAAGTAACCAGAACCCAACTGACACAGCCCAAAGAAGAAAGGTGTTAATTCTGCCTGGTGGGCAGAGATGGAGCCTTCCTAGAGGAAACAGCATTCAAGCTGGACTGTGAAGGGGGTGAGCAGGGTTCAGGAATTACTCTTACCTTGGCCAGAAAATTCTGTGAAGCGGGGTCGAAGTTTAACTGCCCCAAGACAATAAGAGAATAATGCAAAGCAAGCGGGCATTTCCCCATTAACCCCAACTGAATATTTTAAATTATGTAAGGGACCCTCTTTGCCTTTCAACTGGACAACAGGAAGCACCTCTACTTCAGGGCAACTGTTTTCCCCATGTTTTCTTTAAATAGTAGTGGGTCAAACAGTGGGATTGCTCGAAGTTTAGTGTCCCATTTCTCTTCTTTATTGGCAGGTCTCCCTGTCCTCCTGGTCATTGAGCTAGGGGCATTTCAGGCTAAGATCCCATAACTGAGCATATTTTTAAGCTAAGTGATTCACACTTAGTGGGCTACAATTAATGCAGGTCTGACCATCCCACTTGCTGGGATTCTGTGGCAGTTTGGCAGAGCTGGAGAAAGCCAAGGGGTCATGCTGAACCCCAGCCCCCATCCTGTAAGGCTCCTTGGGTGTTTATTTTCACACACAGGCTGTACTGGCTTGGCCTGTTTTTACACTCCTCTCCTGCTGTGGAAAACCCTGTCCCATTCTAGGTTGTGGATTCTGTCTTCTTCACCTAACTGAGTGTTAAATAGTTTCTGAGTGAGCATTCAGAGTGCTGGAAGTTACTGTAATTAGCAAAAAAAAAAAAAACAGAACAAAACTGTTTTCATCTCTCTTGGTGACAGATAAAGAATCCTGTGAACAGAACCAGCTTCAGATCTCCAGCTACAGAGAATTGGAAATTGAGCCACCACAGTAAACAGCTGACATAACAAGCAGCAATGATCCCCCGTTAAATGTCT